ATGTTGGGGTACCGAAGGGGGAGGAGAAAAGGTGGATTCACGCCAGAAAACTCATTAAAGGAATAAATGAAAAAGCTGCTATCTCCTGCCTCAAAAAAACAAACAAAACAACAACAAAAAAGATTTTTTGGGATCCGAGAGGTTTACATTCCGTTGACCAAAAACACAGAAGGCGTTGTGCATAATCGCCCCCCCCTCTCTCTTTCTCTCGGCGTTCATGGGCAGTGAGCCCTAATGCTGACTGCTCTTCTCCCCTCTTCCACCCCTTTGCTTCGGTTTCTCTTTCCTCTCTCCCTCCGTGCTCCTGCTCTCGTCTGATGTGTTCTGGATACGGATGAGGTCAAACCGCTTACCGTATTCTGGGGGGAAACGGGCTATATTTCCTGCAGCGCAGCCAGCAGCTGCTTTAGAGAAATAGAATCGCTCTGTGTGTGTGTGCGTGTGTGTGCGTGACTCAGGGCTGCCGGCTGGCTTCTGCCAGATCGGGCTGCCGGGTCGTCATGAGGAGGGGAAATCCTGCCCCTCCGAACTCTCCTGCTCCCACCCGCGGGAACAGACGCAGATCAGGCTTGGGAGGATGGTGCGGGTGGTGGCAACAGTGTGATGATCTGTGTGATACATTTGTCTAGAGAAGGGCGGGGGGGTGGCCAAGCTAATTCAGATACAACTCTGAATTGTATCTGGTGGATTCCAGACCGGTGTTTCTCAGCGAACAGAAGCTGATCTGAAACCTGTTATTCTTCCCCTTTCCCTGCTCCTCTGTGGTGTTCAAACACTTGTGCTATGGGTTTCATAACTGTTGTGCATCTCTTAAATGTTGATCTTGGGCGTGTTCATCTGGAAGGAAGAAAACCCACTGAATGTAACCGTACATAAAGATAAATTACTTTGCAGCGATTACTAGAGACCATGGATCTTGGCTTTCAAATAAATCTCGGCTGGTGTGCGGCAGTTTAAATCTCACTGAATGCAGTGGGACTGGCTTAGAAATAAAATCGGGTGGTTCGTTATCTGAAATGTAATGCCTCAACCCCCTCCCCCACTCCTTAAGAGCTCAACCACTATTTACTTATTTATTAATATATATATATATATCTTTGCTTTGATGGTTCCCTCATCCCAATTTTATCTTTGCAGTCTTCACAGTTTTATTTCTTATGCTTAAAATAATTCCCTGAGCTAATTGGGGTGAGAATTGAGGAATGGCTCAAGGTCACTCAAAGAGCTTTATGGCTAAGTCTGGATCTTATCTGGTTTTATACACCAAATTGGTTTGTACAAGATTGGTGTTTTATATTTTGAGGTCTTGATTATCAAGATTTCCATATGTTATTCAATCAATATGTTTCTTTTTAAAGCAGCAAATCTCTGCTTTGCTGATTTAAAATTCCAACAGTATAATTTTCCGGAAATGTTCTTTATTCCATCCATAGTCACTGAATAATTGCCTCTCTTGTGCCTCATTTCTTATACAACTCAATACTGCTATATATTGATTGTTCCACTCAGATGGGATACTCTTTCTTAACTCCCACCCACCTGCATGCATACATTTCTCTTTGAAGATTATATCTGTCTACTGGAAATTTAGTCTAACAGCTTGACTCACTGTGTAATGCTATGCATATCCACTAAAAAAAAGTCCAAATGAGTCCAGTGATTCTGTTCCCAGGTAAATAAGAACAGGATTGTAGAGAAAATGTTGACGTCTTAGTGAAGGCCAACGAATATCTCCTTCCAACTGTCCCAGTTTTGCACTGTTATCTTGTAATTATATATCCAAGGAGTTGTATCTATTTGAAATGTATAAAAGGAATAAACTTGGTAGGATGTCTCATTGAGAACAATGTCTCTGAAGTTTTTACGTGCCTCTGCAATCTCATACACACTTAGAGGAAGGGGGAATGATTTGTTTGAAATATGGTGCTGGAGGAGAGCTTTGCAGATACCCTGGACCACTAGAAAGATGAATAAGTGGGTTCTAGACCAAATCAAGCCTTAACTATCTCTGGAGGCAAAAAATGATGAAACCAAGGCTGTTGTAGTTTGGGCGCATCATGAGAAGGCAGGATTTTCTGGAAAAGACAAAAATGGTGGGAAAAGTGGAAGGCAGCAGGAAAAGAGGAAGAGCAAATATGAGATGGATTGACTTCCTAAAAGAACCACAAACTTGAGCTGAGCAAGGACAGTGGGGACAGGACATTTTGGAGACAGACAAATAGCTTATTCGTAAAGTTACCAGAAGTTGGAGGCACTTTGAACATACGTAACAATTACAGTGGGGTCTCTACTTAAGAATGTCCCTACTTAAGAACAATCCAACTTAAGAACAGCTCCATTTGCTAAATTTTGCTTCTACTTGAGAACAGAAATCCAAGATAAGAACAGGAAAAAAAAACCTTTCCTGCTCTTTTTTTAACCTTAGGTCATCTTAGGTTAAAAAAAAATTCTCCCCCTAGTGGTAGAGTACGTATTAACTTCAATGTACGAACGCACCTCTACATAACAAAAAAACAGCCAGAACGGATTAATTGGTTTTCAGTCCAGTCCTATGGGAAATTTTGCTTCAACTTAAGAACGTTTCAACTTAAGAACACCATTCCAAAATGGATTAAGTTCTTAAGTAGAGGTTCCACTGTAGTTTCTATGGACGGAAAAGAGCAGATACGGATTAAATGGTTTTCAATGCATTCCTATGGGAAATGCAGATTCAACATAAGAACTTTTCAACTTGAGAACCACCTTCCAATACGGATTAAGTTCTTAAGTAGAGACCCCACTGTACAACACATTTACCTGGCTGCTTGGAATAAAACCCACTGAAATCACTGGAATTTCTTTCCGAGTTGACAAGTCTAGGATAAGAACAGCTGCTAACTGTATCTTCCTTACCATGGCTCTCAGTTTTGTCCCTGGATAGGGACAACTGTATAAACATGTGTGAGAAGAATGAGAAAGATATACCAGTGTAATCG